GATTTTGGGTGATTTGTGATTGTGAATGTGTCTGATGGTTCTACTTCTCCATAACAGGAAGTATCTTTTCTGAAGAACAGCATTCTGGGTATAAATATGCTGATGAGCTTGTTTCAGGTTAGAGACTGAAATATCATAATGTTACCTGCTACATACAGAAGCATGTATGTATGTTAAATTAATTAAAAGCATTCATGTAGCAAGTTATCTTAGCAGAGTTTAAATTATATAAACCATTCAGCACATAATTAAGATAAGGTGTTATTATTAATAATAGCTCTAATAAAAATATCACTTCTTGTGTTTATTTGCCTCTTTATGATAAATCACTTATATTCATCATTTGTAAGTCGCTTTGGATAAAAGCGTCCGGTAAGTGAATAAATGTGTCACACTATGCTGTATAAAAAGCACAAAGATGAAGATGAATGCTCCAAAAGTCTTTAATCCAACACACATGCAATACAAACACATGGTAGCTTTGGAACAGATGTAACATGGACGAGACCAGACAAACTCAACTGAAACAGAGAGAACTAGTACACAGTGCAAACGAGGTGATTAGTGGCAACTCAAATCATCAAATCATTAACTGTGACAACAAACACAGGCAGAGAAATAGTGCAAATGCAAAACAAATTCCAGACTGAATGACTCTGTGACAAAATGTAAATGTATTTTTTTTTTAAGCAAAATCTTCAGCAAGTGTCAAACCTGGCTACTATAATGACATCAGCACCACAGCACCACTAACAGGTCAGTGACTTTGTTAACTGATCACAGGATTTCTCTTAATTTTATTACCTTTTTGGCATGTGAACATGTGAACAGGTTTCTGCTATTTATTTCTGTACTATTAAAAAATGTAGAAGAGCAACAAATGACACCAGAGGATTATGACGATGCAAACACTGCTGGTTGGAGACATTGTGCTAAAGGTTCATTTTAAAATTATTTCTACAGGTTTAAACACTATGTATTTATATATATTTTGATTATGCATTTGTACTGTTTCAAAATCCCAAATTTTGTACATTAATGAATGCATTTAATTTTTCATTATTTTGTTGTAGATGACTTACAAGAAAACTATGATGTTGTCACTGTACCACAGTTCTCCAATGATAAAGCAGGTGTGGGATTCAAATTATATACTTCTATATTGGCACAGTAAAGTGTCATGTAAAATATGAGGACTATTTTTATGTTATTGATAATATACATTTATATCAGTGGGTGTTGAGGAGGAGGAGAATGATGATGCAAAGGATGTCAGGGAGTATATGAGTGACATTGTATTGATACATTAATTTACTTACGTTTTCTAATAACAGACTATAATGATGTGGGGGAAGAGCCAGGAAAACAGCGAAGGACTGTGTAACTGAAACCACACCAACTGCCTCAAATCCTTTTAAAGCTTTTAAGTGGTCTGCAGAGTTTAAGCAATCCTATATACTGTTTGTTTTAGCTGCAATCTAATGTTTTATGTTACATTTTGTATTGAATTTTTTTCTGAGATTTTCTTTGCCTTGATCTTTGCTTTCATGGCCTTTTCAAACTGTTTGAATTTGCCTTTCCAGACATTTTTACACATTGTGAAGTTTTTGCAACTGCACTGGTTTAAACCATTTCTATCACATAGCCTTAGAAATTTGAGAGAATAAAAAAAACAAAAATAAATTCTCAACATTCAGTCAGTTTGTATATTGGACATTGTGCTATGATTTCAGATTCATGAATCTGTAACAGTTCACAGCACCTTCAACTTAAAGATCATTAAACAAAATTTCTTAATTTGTAGACCAGTGTACTTTTATATTTTGCTAAAAGTTGTTGATATTTACTTTGGGATATTCATTTACAAATAGCAGCTGTGAGCAATTATTGGAAAAGTATGTTCACTTTATGTCCTGCAGACAGGGTTTCTGGTCATCAGAAATACTGTGGCCATGATAGGACAGGCAGAGGTTTCAGAGACAGCCTCCTTGGCCATGATAATATAGGCAATGAGTTCAGATATGGCCTCTGTGGCATCAAAGGAGGGTCCGTCACCTTGGAAGCCAGTCCTAAACGCCTTGAGACAGCCCTAGTAGATTCTGGTATGTCAGCCATGATGACGGTGGACTCTGGTATGGTGGCCACTGTGGGACTGCTGCATTCCTCTCCGCGACTCCCACAGTAAAGGCAGAGCCACTCAGCTGCAATGCCAGGTTGATATAATATTTCATATATAATATAATAAGTCCACTCAAGAGTCCCACAATGGCATGAGCAAGGCGAGCGTATCTGATAGCCCTCCCAGAAAGAATTGTGAGGCATTCCTCCTGCATATCAGTCAAATGTGCCAGCTCAGTGAAGTCCTGCATGCAGTTCTCGATCAGCCACACAATTTGAGTTATTTTT